TTCTTTTAGGTTCTTTGGCTGGCCTAATAATTAAATTGACATAACACAAATTAACAGAGAAAAAACATTTAATTTTGTATGTATAGGAGCCTATACAAATATGAGGCTCAAAGAAGTCACCAAAGCAGGTAGCTTTGTGAAAAATTGGTAAGACTGAAGGGTTTGGGTTTGAGATAGTAAATTAATGAGGAAGTAACAAAGTTTGTTTATATAGCTTTCTGGGCCCCAAATCCCCTATTTCTGGTAATAAGGATGCCTTCTACCCTCCTGGTACAGGGAGGGTACCTTTCAAATGAGAGACTTATTTCCTTGCTTTCGGCAGGGGGGGCAGAGGAGATCAGTGTCCTCCTTTCTCAGGCTGTTTCTTAAGTAACTTTATTTCAAAAGAATCAACATGCCAAAGTGGCATATTTGGGGGTGGCATATTCTGCTTCCCTTTATCCTGTTGACTGTATGAAGGAAGACTTTTGTTTCTCGTAATTTCAGAAAAGACCCCCTCCTGGAGAATTCCTCTGCAGAAAACAACTGTAAAACCTGGATTTAATATAAAAAGCAAGTGAACAGAAGCAGATAGGCTCTACTCGGGAGTACACAGAGGAGAGAAGGAAGGAAGCTATAAGAAGTAAATTTGCCTTTTCACTGATTTTAGCTTCAGGCTAAGTACAGTCTGTACTCTGGAGACTCTGGTGGAAAAACAATAGTCTCTCTGGCCAGGGTGACTAGAACTGAAACCAGAGAGCCCTGATCACTGAAGATAGTAGAGAAATCCCAGAAGAAGAGCCAGAGGAGGGGGAGTCCTTTGTGAGCACACATCTCTTGCCTCTGAGCCATGCATGAGTACAATGGACTTGGAACAGCTCAGCTGAAGACAAAAAATCTGAACTGGACTGGAGCTGCCTCCTAAGAAAAAGAGTTTACAGTTTAGGCCAACCCAAGATATTTGCCAGCTGAGCAAAACAACTCTCACTGGAGAAAAAAATAATTTCATAGTCTTCACAAATTAACATTTCTACAAGCCATACTTACCCCATATATGGAGAATCAAGAAAATGGAACATATCTGAAGAGGAAGAAAATCAGCTGAGTCCTACCCTGAGATGAATGAGATATTGGCAGTAGCAGACAAGATTTTTAAAGCAGCTGTTATAATATCCTCAGTGAAATAAAATGTCATGCTCTCAGTGAATAACAAAACAAATTCTATCAGATAAATAGAAACAATGGGAAAGAACCAAATGGAAGTTCTAGAATAAAAAGATACAATATTTGAAATAATTCAGTAGATGGATTTAACAGTTGAATAGAGGTGCAGAAGGAAAAGTACGTGAACTTGAAGACAGAGCAATAGAAATTAATTTGAAGAACAGAGAGAAAACATATTGGAGCAAAAAATGAACAGTCTCAGAGGCCTTTTAGGTTGAATTAAACAATCCAGCATGCACGGAAATGGAATCTCAGAGGATAGAGAGAATAGGATAGAAAAAATTTCTTGAAAAGTTAAAGCAGAAATTCCCCAAATTTGATGAAAAACAGAAACCCACAGATTCAAGATACTCAGTGAATACATACCAGGCTGACTGAACCCAAAGAAGTCCACATTGAGACACATCATGGCAAAACTTTGGAAAGCCAAATGTTGAAAGCAATAAGAGAAAAATGATAACATTTCTAATAGAGGAGTAATGATCCATTTAATGACTGACTTCACCTCGGAAACCACGGAAGCCAAAAGAGAGTGGAAGAACATGTTTAAAGTGCCGGAAGAAAAGAAAAAAGCCTGTCCTCCCGGTGTTCCTTATCAAAGGAAAATACCCTTCAGAAATGAAGAGGATTCCAGAATTAGTTAGTGGTGGCAGTGGCACAACCGTAAGTAGACTAAAAACCATGGACGTGTACCCTTTAAAAGGGTGAGTCTTAGGGAATGTACCTCAGTGAAAAAATTTAAATGAAGGCAAAGGCTTTTTCAGATAAAAGAAAACTCAAGGAATTCTGCACTACAAGAAATGTCAAAGGAAGTTCTTCAAGGCTGAGGGAAACTTATACCTGATGGAATTTTGGATCTTTGGAAAAGATAAAAAAAAGATCATCAAAAATGAGAAATATCTACAGAAAAGGGAAAGCCTCTGTCTTTCCTCTTATTTTCTTTATTAAATCATATTATATAAGTTGTGCATATATAGCATATATCGAAGATATTAACTCCATTTAATATGTATCTGTAGTCCATGAAGAATGATAGCAAAGTTTCTATATTTTTAGGGAAATGGTACAGTATTAATTATAAGAGGACTGTGAGTAATTAAAGATGTATACTGTAATCCTTAGGGCAACAACTACACTAATAACGCAAAGAAGTAGAGCTAAAATGCCAATGTGAAAATTGAAGTGAAATTCTAAAAAGCATTTAAGTGGTATCTTTTGTTGTTGTTGTTGTTGTTTTAAGTCAGGAAAGTAGAAACATGGGAACAAACAATAGAAAAGACAAGGGACACCTGGCTGGCTTGGTTGGAAGAGCATGCGACTCAGTCATAGGGTCATGTGTTCGAGCCCCTCATTGGGTGTAGAGATTTATTAAATAAATAAAACTTTAAAAAAGAAAAGAGAAAAAAACAAATTGGAAACAAATAATAAAATAAAATGGTTGACCCAAATCCAACCATCTCAACAATTACATTAAATTGTTAATAGATTAAGTTCAATGGGTATAGAGTTTGTTTGCAAAATGTAAAAAGTTCCAGAGATCTGTTGTAAACATAGTACATATAATTAGCACCACTGTATTATATACTTAAACATGGCTGGGGAGGGGGGGCGGGCGCCTGGGTGGCTCAGTCGTTAGGCATCTGCCTTCGGCTTGGGTCATGGTCCTGGTGTCCTGGGATTGAGCCCCACCTCGGGCTCTCTACTCAGCGGGAAGCCTGCTTCCCCCTCTCCCACTCCCCCTGCTTGTGTTCCCTTTCTCGCTATCTATCTCTCTATCAAATAAATAAACAAAATCTTTAAAAGAAAAAAAATGGCTAAGGTGGGAAATTTTATGTTATGTGGTTTTGACCACAATTTTAAAAAATTTTAACTATGAATTTAGTTAAACTTTGGAAGGACACTGAAATCACTTATTGCCCTGAAACTTTTAATTCCAGAAGTTCCTAGTTGGGTCTGATTTTCTTGAAGTTGTAGGCCCAGAGCGTTGTTTACGTACAAACGCTTATAATAATGTTTATGGCCTATAGCAAGCTCTGTATGAATTTAACTCACTGAATCCTCATCACAACCCTATGAGGTAGGTATTATTCTATTTTCTGCCATTTTATTATGGACATTTTCATATATACAGAGAATTTGGAAGAATGACATGTTGAACACTCTTACACTATCTAGATTCTGTAATAAACATTTTATCTGTTTTTCTTTATCACATATCTATCCATACCTATATTCATCCATTAATCCATCTTATTTTTTTTTAATGCATTTCAAAGCAAATTGCAGACATCAGTATGCTTTGAGGGTAGGTATTTTTATTATCCTCATTTTACACTAGAGGCGACCTGAGACAAAGAAAAGCTAAGTAATTTGTTTAAGGTCACATGGCTTTTAAGTGGTAAAACTAGGATTTGGGCCAAGCCTGACGTTAACCACATCTACAGAATGCTGGTTCACATAATATTAATAGGTATTACCATAAAAAATAATTTGGGGATCCAATAAATCTGACAAATACGTATCTCAGTTTTGAAGATTCACATACAGATTTTCATCTGTGAAGTTCAGCAGTAAAGAAACCCGATTAACTTTGTTTAAGCCAACCATTTCAAGTTTTTTTTTACTTGAAAGCATGTTTTCCTCCCAAATATAACATCTGTTAACATCTTGTAGGATAGGACCAGAATCAAAGGAATATACTTGGGGAAATACTCCTTCATATGATATCCTAATTTTGTTTATTTAGGATAGAATATGTTTTTAAAGAGTTTATACTTTGAAACAAATTTTAGAGCTGGCAGAGATCTTAGAGTTAATTGAGACCAGTGCTTTCATTTCAGAGATGAGGGAACAGAGACACAGGGTAGTTAAATGACTAATGCAGGCTAAATCATGTGCCTAGGTGCAGGTGCTTAGTGGCAGGTGCTTAGTGGCAGAAATGGGAGTAGAGGGGCGCCTGGGTGGCTCAGTCAGTTGAGCGTCTGACTCTTGATTTTGGCTCAGGTCATAATCTCAGGGTTGCGAGATTGAGCCCCACATTGGGCTCTGCGCTCAGCACGGGCTTGAGATCCTCTCCCTCTGCCCCTCCTTCTGCTCGTGCTCTCTCTCTAAGATAAACAAATAAAATAAATCTTTTTTTAAAAAAAAAGAGGGGCGCCTGGGTGGCTCAGTCGGTTAAGTGGCTGCCTTCAGCTCAGGTCACGATCCCAGGGTCCTGGGATCGAGTTCCGCATCGGGCTCCCTGCTCGGCAGGGAGCCTGCTTCTCCCTCTCCCTCTGCCTGCCTCTCTGCCTACTTGTGCTCTCTATCTCTCTGTCAAATAAATAAATAAAATTTTTAAAAAAACAAAAAGAAAGAAAGAAAGAAATGGGAGTAGAACCCAGCTTAGATGCTGGGGATGATATTTAGTGGACACTCAATACATATTTGTTAACTAATGATTATGTTGTCTAAATCTGTCCAGTTTTCTTTGTACTGCATATCTAGCTATATATTGGAATTTGTGTTTATTTTCAGATTATCTTGATCAGTAGTGAGTCTATTAACACTTTATTTTTATGTTAACTTCAGGTACAAATGATATAGCTACTAAATTCTAAAAAGTTTGCCTGTAATATATGACATACAGAAAATTGCACAAAACATAGTTCCTGTAGTTAACAAATAATTATAAAGTGAACCCTGGCTTAACCACCCAGGTCAAGTAATAAAACATTGCTGGTATTTCAGAAGCCCCCATGGGCCCCCTCCTGTTACTGATCCCCTTAATTATTTCTTTTTTCTCTTTCTTTTTTTAGCTAATTTAACAGGACATGCAGAGAAGGTGGGGATTGAAAATTTTGAGCTCCTCAAGGTCCTAGGAACTGGAGGTAAGTCTTAAAAAATTTTTTCTAAGCCAAAAAAAAAGTGTTTGTTATTCTTATGACAAAGGACTCATATTCTTAATATGGAAATCAGTTAAAAATTTAAAAGCATAAGAAATCCAATAGGAGAACTGTCAAAGAACACGAACAAATGATTCATAGAAGAAATACAAAAGGGAAAATTTGGAAGAATTGGCAAAGATTTAGGAAAACCAGTTTCTTTTACCCTGCTGTTGGGAATGTAAATTAGTTCAGTCTTTACATAGGACACAATACTAAAATCACTAACATTTATAGAGAGCTTGTGACTTGCCAAGTACTCTGTGAAATACTTTATACTGATTTAACTCATTCAGTCCTCATTCCACTTTATTCATATCCAGTGGTCATCATGTTTAATAATGAAAAACCCAAGACCCTTCAGAAACCTTGTCAATATGAGTTTGGTTAAATGGAACATGGATCTTTATGTTCTATAATCTATACAATTGGAATGAAATGGTCTGTATTTAACATTTTTGAAAGTTCTCCATACTGTAATAAGCTTTAAAAAAAAGGCTACAGCAGAGAATGTACACTATACCATGTCTGTGAAATAAAAAATGGTATGAATCAATGTTTCCATGTACACTTGACCCTTGAACAATACAGAGGGTCACGGGCACCAATACCCTGCACTCTTGGAAATCTGTGGGTAACTTTTGATTCCCCCAGAACTTAACTACTAATAGCGTCCTGTTGACTGGGAGCCTTCCCGATAACATAAACAGTCGATTAACACATATTTTGTATGTTGTATGTATTCTATACTGTATTCGTACAATAAAGAAAGCTAGAGAAAAGAAAATGTTATTAAGAAATAGTAAGAAGTAGAAAATATATTTGCAGTCCTGTACTGTATTTATCCAAAAAATTCCATGTACAAGTGGACTCGTGCAGTTCAAACCTATGTTGTTCCAGGGCCAACAGTCTATGTGTATATATGAAATTCTCTGGAATATGCACCAAAATGGTAACAGTCTCAGGTGTTAGGCTTTTCGATGATCTTGGCTTTCTTCTGTGCCTCCTGAGTTTTTGCTACTGCTGTAATGTATGTATGTATGTATGTATGTATTTATTTATTTTTTTTGCTACTGCTGTTCTTGCTGCTCAAGAGTCAGGGCCTCCTGGGCGTATGGCCCATGTAGTTGTAGCCACCCCCACACTCAGAAGAGCCCCATGTTAGGTGTAATGCTCTGCTGTCACTGTTCTGAGATGCTAAATGATTCGTGAACAAGGCACCCCACACTTTGATTTGGCAGCAGGCCCACCAGTTACGTAGCTGGTCTTGCCAGGAGTGCACCTCCTCTCCTCTGCTCTCCCTCTGGAATATGTTGTTGTTCTGCAGTTACACCGCAGGGAGAACTTGAGACTCTTCTTTTTCTTTTCTTTTCTTTTTTTTTTTTTTTTTTAAGATTTTATTTATTTGATAGAGAGAGACACAGCGAGAGAGGGAACACAAGCAGGGGGAGCGGGAGCGGGAGAAGCAGGCTTCCTGCCGAGCAGGGAGCCCGATGCGGGGCTCGATCCCAGGACTCTGGGATCATGACCTGAGCCGAAGGCAGACGCTTAAGGACTGAGCCACCCAGGTGCCCCGAGACTCTTATTTTTCATCCTCCAGGTAGAAGTGAAAAGGAGGATTTTAATTCCTTTTTTTTTTTGTCCCCCCCATCCTCAGCAGGTCTATTGTCTCTTTCCTGGAAGTCGGGAGACAGCCTCAAAGGATAGACCATTCTTCTTCCCCACTAGAGTTTAGCTTCACACTCTCAGGGGCCTGTATACCTTCCTGGATTCCCAGCCCCTGACAGGAGGGATTGCTGCTGTTCATATGAGCGTATCCGCCCATACTTTCCGAAGGGCCACGCCTTCTAGCAGGAGAAAATCCTTTCTCCTGGGCTTCCAAAATCAGTCCCAGGCACTGCCCTCCCATACTCATGCATATGTAATTTGTCTTTAGGTCATTTGGTGTTGAGCCTTCACGCCTAGGGCCTTGCCATGCAAGCTCTTCATAATTTTCCTGAGTAGTTTAGCATATTGTGTAAGAGCCACCTTCTACAGCTGCCAGCGAATAAACCCTATGATTTATTTTCATCAACTAAGTGTCTTATTGTCAGGAAGAGTATCGTATAATTGTCAGCTTGGGAGATTTTACTGTGCATTCTCTCCTTCAGATCATTTGTAAAGATGTATTTTTAAAGCAAACTAGCCTCACCCTACCATATCCCTAAGAAATCATGCTTTCAGAATACCAAAATCATGTCTTTTATCCTTACGTTTGCTTCCTCTTTCAAAGGCAGTATCAACTCAAAGGAGAAAAGGGGTCACAATTGTACGGTGACTGGATTTCCTTGGAAATAGTGCTTGTGCCGTTTTGTTGAAGGGTTTTCAGGTCAATTTATGTTATAGCCACAGAATTTGTTTTATCTGCATCGTTTTTATTCTGATAGCCCTATTGCAGTGTAATCACATGCCTTATTATTCATCCGTTTAAAGTGTACAAATCAGTGGTTTTAGTATATTTACAGAGTTGTGCAACCATTACCACAACCAATTTTAGAACATTTTCCTTACCTCAAAAAGAAACTGTGAACCCTTTATTACCTTCCAAGATCACCATCCTCCCAGCTCTAAACAACCGCTAACCTATTTTCTCTATCTTTTTATTGGCCTATTCTGGATATTTCATGTAATTGAATCATGTAATTGGTGGTCTTTTGTGTCTGGCTTCTCTCACTTAACATAACGTTTTCTAGATTCATCCATGTTGTAGCATGGATCACTGCTTCTTTCCTTTTTATGGCTTAATAATATCCCACTGTATGGATATACCACATTTTGTTTATCCATTTATCAGTTGCTGGGTTGTTTCTCCCTTTTAGCTATTGTGAACAATGCTGCTCTGAGTGTTCACATATGAGTTTTTGGGTGAACATAAGTTTTAATTTCTCTTGGGTATATATTAGTAGTGAATTGCCATTTCAGATGATAATTCTATGTTTAACTTCTTGAGGAACTACTAGACTTTTTCTCTCTCTTTTTTTTAAAGATTTTATTTATTTATTTGACAGAGAGATACACAGCGAGAGAGAGAACACAAGCAGGGGGAGTGGGAGAGGGAGAAGCAGGCTTCCCACGGAGCAGGGAGCCCAATGTGGGGGCTCGATCCCAGGACCCTGGGACCCTTCAAGCCGAAGGCAGACGTTTAACGACTGAGCCACCCAGGCGCCCCACTATAGACTTTTTCTAAGGTGGCCACACCACTTTACATTCCCACCAGCAGTGTGTGAGGGTTGCAGTATCTCTACATCCTTACCAACATTGTAGCTGTTCTTTTAGAAGATAAGTTATACAAACCAGACTAAGATCATGTTTTATTCCAGATATCATCAAAACCAAAAAACTTTTATTTAATATTATTAGATAACTTCTCTGAAGCAAAATAGACATGGAATCTACAAATCTTCTCAAGCCACTGTTAAAATGTGATATTAATTAATTTTCATCACTGAATTTTATAGCATGTAACAAAACCCATGAAACTAATTCTGTTCCTTGATCTGTCAATTTTATATTTGGCAGTATATTCCAAATACATAAGTAGAAACAGAAAGGCAGTGTATGTTCTCTTTCTGATAAGATGACAGCTTGCATATCCTGAAAAATCCCCCTCATTTTTAAACTCCTAAAGTGCTGGATAAAATGCCTCTAAAGAAAGTCTACTCGATGGTATAGGTCAGCTGGTAAGAATAAGGAAAATCCTTGGAATCCAATAAGAAAGTGGGAGCAGGAATCTAGAGAATGCATAAGCTCCCTGAAGGCAGAGGTTATTCTGGGGAAATCTACCAGTAAATTGTGAGCTAGTTCTTTGGATTTCCCATTTTTATGCTTGGTATGAGAGATATCATCTAAGGCTCCCAAGAGGTAGAGAAGACTACTGCTTAGAAAAAGACTAAGTAAGAAAATGCAGCCTGCAAAGGGAGCCGCAGAGGAAATTTTTCTGCCTCAGCATTGGCTCTGGGTGAAGAGAATTAAAAAAATAAACAAAAGCCTTCCCTGAGCATTCACAACAAAAGCCAGGCATTGTGCAGGTTTGCAGCTTGAATTTGTACACATTTGTATGATCCCAAAGAACAAAAAATAGGTAAGAATTTAGTTTACAGTAGTACCGAGTTGGTAGTATTCCCAGGTGCCTAGGAAAAGCAAATGTAAGTCCTCTTTGAAAGAATGAACTGTTACCTAGACCATAAAGAAGTACTGAAGGAAGTTTTATAGACATGATCTTAATTGTGAATGATCACAAGCATCCAAGAAGCAAGTCACCAGACTGTTGGAATTATTAGGTATGAAATATGATATATATGTTTATATGGTTTTTAAAATTAGAACATTGATGGTAATATTCAGGAAAAAAGACATACTACAAAATGACTAGGCAGATTTGAAAGAGAACCAATAGTACTTCTAGAAGTGAAAAATAATTCAAATTATAAATTCAGTAGATGGTTTACTAGCAGATGAGATGTAGCTAAAGAGAATTAGCAAATTGAGAGATGGATTTGAGGAAAATATGCAGAATATAAAATGGGAGAAAAATGAGATGGCATTTATAAGAGAGAGATGAAGACGTAGAGGACAGAGAGAAGGTACAAATTTGTCTAATCAGAATCCCAGAAGGAGCTAATAGAGGAGGGGTTGTAGCTGAGAATTTACTAAGATTGACTGAAAATATGAATTCACAGATTGAAGAAACAGAACAATTTACAAGTAGACAGACAAATGGAAAGTTTTACATGATACATCATAGAGAAGGGGATGAGCACCAGAGACAGAGAGATATCCTAAAAGCAGCCAGAGTGAAAAGACTTATTTATGAAGGAAGAACAGTGATCAGACAAACAGATGCCTTTTTAGCAGCAACCATGAAAGCCTTGGAAGAGAAGAAGAATACCTGCAGAATGCCCAGAGAA